TCACAAATATGCACCTATGAGCTTCCATCTCTGGTGTAGTAATAGACAGAGGAACCAAACTGAACCAAATGGGCTCTCTATTTGGAACATGCTAACTTTAAGTGAAAAAAAAAAATCTGGAACTAGAAGTTGGAGGATCTCAAACGGTGCCCTGGGGTTTGTACAGCTGCTCTGCTTCTCTGTTCATTTGATTGAAATTTTCCAGGTAATCATCCAGTAAATCTACTTCCTTGATACTGTTAGCCATAGTTCAGTCTATAGTTGGTCATCAAGGAATACTTTAGATGGAGTAAATATTGTACTTCCATTGTATAGATAAGAGAATTCAGACTTAGAATATGTACTTATCGTACATCATCTTGCTATGAAGTAACATAGGAACCAAGATCTAACTCCAAATACCATGCATGCTATTAACCATTGTCCCATTCTGCCTATAACCCTTGTACTATGGGATTTTTTTCTTTTTTGACATAAGGTTGGACTTGTGCTGAGTCCTATTTACTTTCTTGCCAAATTAATGCCACATACATTTAGAAAAAGTCATACAGGGAAGAGTATAAAATCTGAAGTAGCTTCTAATTTAAGCTTGATGGTCCACAAATGAATCAAGSATTACACTTCCCCTATGGGGACTCTCACTAATTGGACTAAACAATTTGGCTACATTGCCAAGGATAATATGCTTATGTTGTCTCCTGTCAAGTTGATTGTACTGCCTCGAGAAGGAAAATGTCCAGAAAAGAGTAACAACAAACTCAACAATGCCTTCCAAACAACAGAACTGCACAGACTAGCAGGTGGTCTTCCAGAAGATTAAAGCATTTCAACTCAACTAATTAGCATTAAGTAGTTATAACAGAACTTTGCTATTTAGATCACGGGGTTACTTTCCACATCTCCATGAAAAGGACACCATAGTAGCTATAGAACTAATTGATCAGGATGGGTAGAGACCTCTACATCCTCTTAGGTCACACTAAAAAGAATCTGAATACAATATCAAGTCCATTTTTCAGATGTCAAGATTTAAAGTTGTTGGCAATTGCTGGAAAATGGGTGAAAAGAAAAAAACATCATGCTCAGTGAAATAGGCCAGCCTCGAAAAATGGAGGGTCTAATGTTTTCTCTCTCACATGGAAGTTAGAGCAAAGGGAAAAACACGTGGGTGAAGGGGATCGGATACCAGAAAGACAGAGAGAAGATGAGTGGAGTAGAAGGAGAGTGAAGGGGAGGGAGGAGGAACAGGAAAGGGAAGAGATGCAAAATGAATTTGACARAACTATGCTGTGAATGTATAAATATACCCCAGTGAATCCCACCTTTATGTATATATGAAGCATGAATTAAAAATAGGTAAAGAAATAAAAGGAAGACCAATAGAGTAGAGGAAGGAGAATAGGTGAATGGAGGAAGAGAGAGAAAGARGTGGCACAGGGCACTGAAATGGAGCAAATTACATTTCATACAAATAYKACTAKGTCAAAACGAACACAACCATCATAAGTAACTACATTGTAATAATAAAAGTGTTAAAAATGTACATAAACACAGAAATAGAAGATATGGAGTTGTTCATCTTCATAGGCMGAAAAAGCACTCTTAGGAGGGAAGAAGCAAAAAGTCATTCGGTTTTACYGGAATAGAAAGATACTCATGCTAATTAATCCTAGTCCAAATACCAGTGTATTTCCTAGTCTTATTCTTTTATCTTTGGCTGACAACTTTGATCTGAGAGTTGTTCCTTAGATTAATCTTGTTTAAGTCCTTGAGCATTTTTCATCTCGACCTGACCTGAGCCATGCCCACTTCTGAAAACCAGTTTTAACCCATGAACTCCCAAATTTTCAACTCYGCAGGGCACACAGTATTGGGCATTTTCCTAAACTCATCACAATTAGTACTAAAGAAGTTTGAAGCTTCTAGGATTAAAAAATAAAAAGCAGACAATAGTAAACAAAGTGACTACGTTGATGTTATGGTAGGTGGGAAAGCATCCCTTCATCCAAAGGATAAAAAGAGGATGCCAAACACTTCCTGTACCACTCACCAGAAATGCCCATAGTGACTACTGAAGACCTAAAGAAGGAAAAGGTCATATAGTTTTGTAGAAATAGGAGCCAAGAAACCTTGGATCCCCTTCTCCCTAACATCAACACCCTATGTAAAAGTGGCCACTCCACCTTTTGCCCTRCATCTTCCCTAGAGACCCCCACCATAACATCTACCATATGTTGAATATTTTCTTTGTTTCTCTAAGAGGCCCAAACACCACCGAACAACAAATAGGAACAGTATCGATTTTTTTTTGTAGTTGTTATTTGTTTGTTGTTTTGTATTTCCAGCACTGAACATRGTGCCTAGAATATATTAGGGCCTCAATAAGTGTCTTTATCCATATTAAAAAATGAGTAAAAGATGCTCAGTCTCCACCACGGAAATCTCCACTAAGGAAAGAGTTTCAATAAGAGCAAAACAATGTCATTGGGAAGCTCTATTTTCTTTGCTAGCAGAGTGGAGTCCTGTCATTTTTACACTCCACTGATTCATTCTGAACATGGTGTCAGGAACAATACAGGGGCAAAAAACAATTAGTGGGGGAACAAAACAATCAGCCAAACCGTCTGGGATTTGAGCGATATATAGATCAAACGTCTTAAATTTGCTAAGCTCTTTCTCATTTGGCCAGAATGGATGACTCTTGGCTTCACTGTACCAAGAATAATTGTCCCTCATATATCCCCAATCAGCTGCCCTTTAATGACTAGTCAGAAGTGACAATGTAAAAGGAGCAGTGACTTTCATTGTACTTGGCAAATTTTGGATGAACTCCCATTAATTTGCCCTTGGCATATTATAGAAACACCTTACATGGCCACTAATGTCKCTGCTCCTCCCTGCCTCCAACAACAACAAGTCCTCTGACTAGCAGAGATACAAGAGAAATAAGTGAGATGTCTGAGGTGACCTTTGCTTCTCACACCACTTCCATAGATGGTGGAATAACCACAATACCTAGGCTCGCATCAAAAGTCTCATACATTCAGAGGTCAAATGACCTTTCTATCTTCCCAAACCAGCACCAGGGTATGCTACCCTACAAAGATATTTGGAAAGAGTCCAGGTACTTGACAGACTTATGAGGCCCATATGGCCTATTTCTATTCCAGATGGCTGCCTCCTCATCTCGGCTCATGTTCTGGTTGTTGTTGCTTTGACAAGGTAGTGAATCTGCATTTAAATTCCATAAACTATAAGAAAGTTCTAGGCTTCCACTTCATCCCAAGGTCCTGTATCTGTTTTTGGTCTAATTATATTTAAAAAAATAAAGTTTGCCATCTCTTGAAATACATGTTAACTACTAACACAGTTGACCTCATAGAAACCACTCCTTGKAAACACCAACCAGGATCATCCCAACTACCAGACTTCTGATACTTGGACAATTTCTGGTCACTGGTGGTCTTTAGAAGGAAGACCCCGTGGGTCCTCAAAGAATTCTTCTCTTCTCAATCTTCATGTCCTCCTGCTTGTTCACCAACACAGCCTAAGATGCTGCCTTGAATTATTGTCTTACTGCTTCTTGTGTAGATATCTCAGCTACATGCAAAAGCTCATTGAAGGTAGGAGCTATGTCTGTTATAGATGCCGTATCCTTAAAGACCTAGAGCTATGTTTTCAGCAAATATTTGGTAACTATGTAAAGTATACTTTCATATAATATAGAAGCTGTCAGCCCATGGATAGCCAACTTGATTTTGTGTTTTGGGGCATATAAAAATAAGAGACCAAGTTACAGTCTGAATGTGGTCTATCAATTGAACCTCCTTAGCTAGATGTCATTCCTTTGCTAACCTTTATCTCTGCTTCTTGCCCAAACTGTATTCAGTGCATATAGAAGATACTTAAGTGTAAGCAGAAGGGACTCCCTGTAGTATTCTGGCCTGTTCTAAAGGGTTGGCTTTACCTCTTTAGCCACCTCTCTGGGTCCCCTTTTCATTATGGACTTTGTTTTCAAAGGAAGAAAGCCTGGAGTCCACTGTGGACTTTGTTCAGTTCTTCAATACCACCATGTCTCTTATATCTGTCCTGTTTAGATCACACTCCTTCCTGCCACTTCTCTGCCAAGGCAGCTGCTATTCATATTTCACCTCTTATCTTAGGTATTTTTTTTCTTTGAACAAGTTTTATCTGGATCCCTATAGTACATTGAGTGTTCTTACAAGGGTCTCTGGAACTTTTCTGTACTTTGCTTCAATAAAGTTGACAATAATAACAAAGCTGATATAATAACTACAATCTTCAAAGAGTCACTAGTGGTTGTTAAATGCATACCATATTTTAGGAACCTATTAAGTCAGATCATCATTGATATCTGGTGAGGTGGTGCCTAAATATCACCAAATGAGACAATCAAGTCTCAGAGATACTTATTTCCTTCATGAGGTTCACATGACTCCATAAAGGTCAAACTTCTCATCTAGTCTGGCCCCAGAGTTCTGTGTTTGCTACCCATCCATCGCACCACCTCTTATGAAACCCACCATGTTTATCATTGGTTATTTAATACCACTAGGCAGCAAGCTCTGTAAGGATAGGCATATATACATCTTGTTCGATATTCTGTTTTTAAAGCCTAGCCCAGGAGTTAGCATGTAGAAACTATTCAGGAAACACGGAATAAATGAAACAGCCAGCAGACTGGCTCTCCTGGAATCTCAAAGAAGAACGATTCATCCTCCCTAAAGAGAAGATACCTAATCAAAACCATATGAGTATAATAATATCTATTTTAAAGTTTTTCTTTCTTCTACCTAACTCTGGCCAAATGATGCTAGGCACTCAGAACTAGAATGGTGTGTTCTGGAAACCAGTGAACCCAAAAATTCTTATTTGGAAGAAGAGTGCAGGTGGAACAAAGGCTTGGGCTGTCCAGGCATACACCTGTAACACCCATTTCCACTTGGACTGGAGCATGCCACCTGCGAAGGCTGACTCACCCCTTTCGCAGGTTCTTCCCCAGTAGCCGGTGCCCGTGCAGTCGCAGATGAAGCGGTTCCAGCCGTCCTTGCACACAGCGTTGTTCTTGCAGGGGTAGCTGTCACACTGCTTGGCGCTCATCCGTGAACAGGAGGACTTGACGCCCGCGGCGTTCTGCATCTCCGCCAGCTGCCGGATGTTCTTGCTGCGCCCGTCGATGAACAGGTCTCGGATGCAGCCCACGTAGCCGTAGTTGAGCATGGCGGTCCAGAGCTCCGTGGGGAGGATGAGGCCAGCACGGTTCTCCGGCAGSCCGCCCAGGTACATGTCTCCCTCCAGGTCCAGGATCTCGCTCTCCCCACTGGCGGTGAATGGCGTGCGCCTGCTGTTCACTGATATGGTACCTGGGTAGGAAGACATCCCGAGTGAGTTAAAGGTGCTTGGTGCATCCCAGGTGAGCATGCTAGGTGATTAGCCAAATGAGAGGAGCCCAATAGGTGGGTTCTTCAGACCATCACTATCTAACCGGGAGAAAGCCACGCAAGCGATGGAACAGCATGCTGCAGGATGGTGTCATTTGGTTCCCATCCCTGCCACCTAAGACAACCAGGCCTCCAGGGAGACCAGAAAAATCCCACTGCCTAACCTCTAGTAGATCTTTTCACTTCCTAACTGGCTTGGCTGAAAGGTAGAATCATCATCACCATCATCATCATCATATCATCATCATCATCATCATCATCATCATCATCTCATCATCATCAGGTGAGGGCAAAAGAGTTCCTGCCTGAGTTAAAACCCCTGCTTTTACTACACATGAGCTGTCTTCCTGTGCTTCGGTTTCCCCTGCAAATGGGAAAGTGATTTTCCCCACCTCACAGGTTGATGTGGTGGTTAACTAAGTTAATYCTTATAGGAAAGCGTCTCATAGGCCCTGGAATAGTATAAGGGCTCTGTATTTGCCTGAATCCTCTTCACCAGCTCCCCATCCCCCAAAGGATGGGACTTCCTCTCTGCCTCCCCCTCCATGCAGTGATACACTCTAGACTGGCCTCAACTACCACCCTAGCCAGTGAATATTTGGGACATTGCCACTGGTAATTTTTAACTGGAACATGTTTCTTTATTCGTGTTATACAGATATGTCAGGCATCTCTTCTGTGTCTGTATAGTTCTAGGCACAGAGATGAGCCTGTCCTTCATAGCCTTTTTCTCTTTGGAGTTGATACTACAGAGCACAGACACAAAATAAATAGTCCAGTACACAAGAGAAAATAACTAATGGCAGGTGCTATGAAAAGAGTAAAATGGGTACAGGGTAGCAGCCCATGTGTTCTAATTTAAGGCCTACCTAGGTGGGTGACAGCTGAAACTAGTATTGAGAAAGTCCAGGGGTAGAGATCATGGAAGGCAGATAGAATGACACACACAAAGGGCCTGAGGCAGGAAGGAGTATGATAGGAGAGGAGGAGGTAACAGGGAGGGAGCAGGAGTTGAGGCCAGGGATATAGGCAGACCCAGGCAAGGACTGGTTTATGGCCACCATCAAATGAGATTTTAGAAGGTATAACTAGTGCCTGACCTGGGAATTTGTTAGTCCTAAATGGTTTTCTGACTCTAAGATAGTCACTGAACCCTTTACCTCTTAATTTCCTGAACTGTAAAATCAAGAAAATGTACTAGGTGATATCTAAAAATGCTACCAGAAATTTTGAAAAAAAAAAAAAAAAAAATATATATATATATATATATATATATATATATATATATATATATAATTTTTTTTTTCAAAATTTCTGGTAGCATCCATCAGTCAGCCTTCACTGACATCAGTCTCCTCTGTCTAAGTCTCAATTCCCTCAGCTAAGAAGGGTATATCCTGAAGGCTCAGGAGATCAAATGAGATCAAGAACGTGAAATGTGCTCGAAATTACAAAGTCAACACCACAGTAGAATGGAAAGGACACTGAGGGGCCCTCGCGGGCAGGGTAAGCTGACAATCTGTTCCCCACCTCTTTCCTAGAGGTTTCCTGCTGTGCCTTGACTTTATAATGTCCTGGTTATCAATTTAAATATTTTGTGTGCTTTTGTTTTTATTTTTTTTTATTCATTTATTTGAGGGGGACAAAACCCAGATCCTGGCACAGGCTAAAGCCTGTGCTATGCTCTACCACTGAGCTACACCCTCAGCCCATTTATGTACATTTTTTTTTTTTTGGACTTGACCCTGAAAACAATATCGTGAACTAGGATATGTTATTTTCTCTGTTACAAATAAGGAAGTTGAAGTTTGTATCTCTTACTACATTCTCTTGCACAGTTTCCTTTTTTTATCTTCCACATGCCTATAAATATAATCTGATCACCAGCAAAAAGGGAGGAACATCTATTGCCAAATAAGTACTAGAATCCATTTAAAATTTCATGCCTTAAGTATATGCTGGGGAAAATATGTCCTCTGAGTATGCTGCCAGAACTCCTTTGAATGTTCTTGTCAGTTTTTAAGACTCACTTCCCCAATAGAGACTATAAGATATTATAAATATATACATATATGTGTACATATATAAATATGTGAATATACGATCATATAAGTTTTTCTAAATTACCTAGTCATATTCTGCAGAATGCTCAGGGAGGTCCATATTGTTTTTGTAAATATTCACTTTCACATAGGTTTGTAACTGAAAAGAGCCTACTAGGAAACATCTTCGTGAAGAAATGACATTTAACAGGCCATATAAAAGTGTTAAGTTACACTGTTTTCTTAGGATGATTATTTGTTTACTTAGTAAGTTTTCATATTCTTTGAACAAATGCATCAGATTCAAAGAATCACCCAACAGTGTAAGTTGCCAAGTAAAAAATTCAAGGCTTCTAAAATCCAAATATATTTCTCAAAGATGGGCCCACTGTGATGTTCCTAGCTAAAAAAAAAAAAAAAAAAGAAAAAAGAAAAAGAAAAGAAAAAAATAGCTATCCTATTTGAAACAGCAATTAGTGTTGGAAATAAACAGAAATAAACACATGGCAATTTGATGTGTTCAGGCCTATGTGACACAAGTAGGTAACTTTGAAGCTGTGTCAAGGTTAGTCACACACAGAACTCATCCACCGTGACCCATATTCACATATGACCTTATCCAATAGCAGTAGGTTTTTAAAAGAATTTTTAAAAATAATTTTGGTAATATGGATTGTAATGCATTCTGATGTCATATATAACAAATTAGAATAAAAATTTAAATAATAAAATAATAATTTTGAGACAATTTTAGCTGTACYCTGCTCACTTATTATTGATCAACATGAGAGAGGGATTGATTTAGCCTCCAAAGAAAATTATTTTTGTGTGTCTTTTTCTCTTTAAAAAGCACAAATTGTTCATTCTTGCCTAACAAGCACATTTAATTTGAAGCCTCCTGGTTCCGATCAGATTTTAGACAATCGATAGAGGTTCCTACTGGGCAATAAAACATGCAGGGCTGCAATCTGCCACCCGTCTGCCCTCTGCACAGAGCCCATCCTGTTCCTCCTAAGGGTAATGTTGCTTATTTCTGCCATCCCTTTACCTCTAGAATTGTACAGAAAAGCATCTACCAAAACTCAGCCATTTCTGGCTTCCGTATTTTGGAGACCCTATTACTTCCTCTTGCTCGCCAAGTGTAACCTGGAGAGAAAATATCCAAATGAAGACTTGTTCTTATGTGCACAGGAGGATGAATCCCTATAAATGTGGAAAATGTAGCCACACCCCTCTGGAGTATGTACTACCTAAATGGGAAATCAGAAAATGAGTCTGAAATTCAAATGCTCTAATTACTGCTCTTTGGTTTTCCAATAGCACAGAATGTGACCTTCATTGCCACAGGGTCCCTAGAAAGCTAGGCAGACTGTTCAGTCATTTGAAAACCCCAGACTYTCTATTAGTGCCCCCCCCAGCCCCCACTCCCTTTGTTACTGTTCCAGAGTGACAATGTAGTGCCTGGGGCTACCTTGTTTGATCTGCGGCTGCAGAAACAAACAAAGCCATTTAAACCAAATGTAAAAGGTTAGGAAGAGGAAGAGAGACTTAGTGAGGTCTGAGCAAAGGGTAAAATACAGGCTTTCACACCAAAGGAAGGCTTTAAATTGAACATGACTTCAGGAAAAATCAATTTGCCTTTTCCTTTCTTGTCATAATTTCTCCCTGCGACGTGACTCTTGCCAATTATTGCAGGGTGGATCTTTGCATAAACTCTTGCACAGTGAGGCATATCCTACAGAATAATCCCATAATGCAGCATCTGTGATGTCACACTTGGTTTCCATGGTGATGAGAAAAAGAAGGAGAAGAAAAGGGGGGAATACTGTATCAGTGACATGACAGTTGCTTTGGGGGGAGGGGTGATGCTATTTGAAAAACTATCCTTAGTTCCAGGGTCTTAGAGTTGTCCCTGAAAGGATCGCACAGAGCAAGGGAGATGAGCTGGAGAATGTGCAGCACCCATGAGGAAGGTGTTTTGTTCAAAAACAATGTTACCACAACCATTAAAGAGAAGAGACAAAAAAATCAACAACCCTGCAAATGCAAAAATTAAAATTAAAAAAAAATAAATAAAGCCAGGAAGAACTGCACTGCTACAGCTGCCCTCTACCCTCAGTCACACACCCTGGCTTTTCCCTACCTGATCTGCCATCGCGCTGAATATCCACATGGTACCATTCCCCGTCATTGGCTTTCTTCTGGGTGGCTTTCACTTTGATGGTGCCTGAGCCCATATCGAGCAGCAAGTACAGGTTGCCATCGAGAAGTTCCACAGCAAAGAAGTCAACTTTTGTGTTCTTTTGGCTTCGAGCATCCTTCCTCTCTTGGGGCTTCCCATGAGTGAAGAGGATCAGGCCGTTGGGCTCAGTGGTGCGGAAGTCAAAGGAGATAGAGCCCATTCGTTTGGTGTTCCACTTGGGCAAGCTGATGTAAGCCTCTGGGGTCTCAAAGTTGATGGGGTCCAGTGTGGCCACATTCTCACACTTGAACACAACTTCACCATAGATTTTCATTTTTGTGTCCCCAATCCGTGCCAGACGAGACAGCTCCAGACGGATGTCATTATTCTTATAAACAACCTGTCAAAAGCCAAACAAATGTGCTGTATGAATCAATCTCATGAGCAGCATCCATCCATCACTCACTGGGCACCCAGAACAAAGATTCAAGAAGAGGCTTCAGGACATAATGGTTTGAAACATGAGACACAGCCCTCAAAACCCATCCAAAGAGATATCTGGGGTGCACCTGTCTCTGAATAGGCCTCTGCATTCCCATGAAGTTTCTTTTGTCTTTCTCCTTCTGGCCAATATCTTGTATTGACAGAAAGTTATACAACATGTGTGTGCAAGTTTTACTTGCACAAGAGATTGAATTGAATGGATATAAACATTTTGATACAAAGATATTTACTGTATCCTTAGTAAAAAATCAGAAACAACTTAAATGACCATCAAAAACACATGGCACATCTTTATAATGGAATATTATGCAGYCTTTAAAATGAGATATTGCTTCTGGCTTTGACCTGAAGGCCCTCCAAGTCATATCATTAAATGAAATCAGCAAGAAACAGAACAGAATTACATTATCATTGTATAAAAATGGGGAGGGATGGGGAGAGTTATTATACATGTTCATATAAGCATAAAATATCTTTGAAAAGAAGCACAAGGAACTATAAAGTTGTCTCTGGGAATTGGATTGGGAGGGAGACTTACTTTTAGCAGCATCTTCCTGTTTCATGTTTTTAAAATCATTTGCATACATTTCTTTTTTTAAAAAAAAAATCATGAGTTTTTGGAGAAGAGGATCCATGATTTTTGCACATTGAGTGTGTGGTGGTAGAATGAGATAGCCTGAAACCCTGGTTCAGTCTGTTGGGGACATTTATTTAGTTGACAATCAGAATTAACAGAACACTGTACCCATAGTGATTTGTCCTAGAAGGGGGTCCAGCAGGGCTCTCTGCCCCTACATACTACCCAAGGCACCAGCACAATTCTTCCTGACCATACCCATTGTCCAGAGTGGGAGACTAAGAAGGGAAGGAGAGGATGCCTCACCCAGTCTCATCCTATTCCCCCAAATCAGAATTTCAAAAATTTTTACTCTTATTAATATACTTATTACTCTTATTAATGTATAGATAATTTACTCTTATTGATATAGCACCCTGGGACAGGTCTCAGTTTTCTGATCTTTGACAGCCAAAAGATAATATGCAGGGAGAAAAGTAGAAGAGAAAAGAACTAAGCCATGAATGGGGTTTAGAATGTAACCCCTTGTTATTTCCTTTCTATTATTGTATTCAAATTCTAAGCCAGGACCCAGATTTAGGTCTAAACCCTGTGCCTACTATTTTCAAGCTAGAGATCTTTGGCAAAATAACTTCTATGGGTCAGCTTCCTCCTCTGGGCATGGGACTATAAGGGTAAACTATTTTGTAAGAATAAAATCATTTAATGCACATAAACCATGTAAAAAGAGCAGACAGTAAGGGCACAATGGCCTTGGCTCCTTGGGAGGAAGTGTTGGTTATCTTAATCTCATTTTATTCTTTCCACACCTCTGAGAAGCCTGCATTATCATTTCCATTTGAGGTCTCTTCAGCAAGGTCTAGGAAGCAAAATAAGTCTCACAATCTATTTCGGTGAGAGGAAAATAATCACATGAGTCCCTTTAGTTCATATCGTTTGATCCCTAACACCCAACTAGAACAATTTCCCTTTTCTCTTCCATCACCAAGAAAGAACCAAGCTAAAATGTTTGCCTTTTGCTAGGTATTACAAGGTTACAAGAGGGCTATATTACTAAGACAAAGCTTTAAAAATGCTTCCCCAACTATGTAACCTTGACAGTGGACTTAACCATCATCAATACCACTGAGAATAACAATGATTCCATCATTTATTGAGCATTTACTATCAGGTGCTGTAGGTAAGATTTATCACCCACCAGCCCATTAAGTCCTGACAACACCCACTTGGGATACCTACAACCATCCCCTCATTTTACAGATGCAAAAGTAGACACRGGAAGTAGTTGACAAACTAGCCCATGTGCACAGAGTAGGACCAGACCCAGGTAGTTGGCTCCAGAAGCCACACTTGGAATGAAGCCTCCTCAGAAATGCTTACGAAGCTCACTGTCACCTTTGTGGAATGTCAGGCATACCCAGCTTTCTTGTTCTAGCTCCATGGGATTGGCCATGCACAAAGGGAAACTGCAGGATCCCCAGGCAGATGCTCAAGTGAGTGAACCACAAAGGAAATAGTTTCAGGGCTTCTTCCTAAGCCCCACTATTATGCTTCAGCATGTGAGAGCTCCCTGTGGTAGCCAGACTTTGGCCTTTCCTGCATTTGGGTGAAATGCCTRTGAGTAGCGCTCCTTGTAGAGGTTGATTATTAATGGATGATAATAGTTCATTCCAAAGGGACAGACAGAGGTTTGGCTCCATTGAACAGTAAATGGAAAGAGCRCTCAGGCATCCCTACAAGGAGGCTGGGGACAGGAGGAAAGAAAAAGGCCTTTAGAAAGGATCTGAAAAGCAACGCTTCTGTGAGAAGGACACATAGGTGAATAAGCAGAATGCAGACCTCTGGAGAGATGCACAGGAGAATCAAGGGCCAGGAACTGGCCACACACAAAGATAACCTGACTTCCCTCAGAGCCTTTTGGAAGGAGAGCTCCTCTACCCCACAGCCCTGAATTGACTTGGCTGTTACACGGAGTCTACACTGTGGTTAAAAACAAACAAACAAAACACCAACACCTTTCTCACTGACAGGTGTGTGGTCTTTCTAAATCTCACTTTATTCATTTCCAAAAGAGGGATCCTCGATGATGACATGCTACAAATTGTCCCCTTTGTCCTCCTAGGGCTGTTGTCAAGATCAAATGGGAAGTCATATGTGGCAGAACATTGAAGATCTAAACTGGCACCAGACCTGAAAAAAATCACAGCAAGTCTTCATCTTCCTCCGTGTTAAGACTCTGTTGGGAACTGATGGGACCCTGAAATGATGCTACGTGGAGGATCTTCCACCAAGGAAGGCAAAGCTCTTGCAGCCCAGCAACGCTCAGCTGGAAGCTCAGGGGCTAGCATCCTCACCTTCCCCATCCATCCAGCCATGCCGAAGCCTACTGGCACCCTGGGCTGGTGTGCCAGGACATGGAGGCAGGAAGCCCTGCCAGACCTCCCACAGTGAATCAGTGCCTGCAGCAGTGTTCTCTGTAAAATCAGGCTCTCAATTAAATGAATGTCTCCAACCAACAGAATGAACCAGGAAGAGATGTGGCATCAAGTGACAGAAAGCAGCCTTGGCTGACAAGTTGCCCTGACAAGGAGCGATTAAAGATAAAGTGGACATGGCTTCCCAAGAGGGCAGGTGTCACAGAGCCTTGGAGGAAGAGAAGTAGAGTCACCAAGAGTGACAAGCTGGTCTTACTACTGCACCCATAGGTTTGGAAAGACTGCTGTTTGGACTTGGAACTCATGCTCAGGAGACCAGAGAGAAAAACACTGAGGTCAGAGTCTCAAGACAAAGTCTCTCTGAAAGAATATACTTGTATTTCACCACAATCCTTGATACYGAGACATACGGGAGCAATACCAGGAGTAGGGCATGCTATGACTACAGGAATATAGTAAAAATAGTTGGCACCTATGTAGAGATAGCTACTATGTGTCAGACTCTTTAAAAACACTGTTGTGTATCATTCATATTAAGTAAATAAAATAGGTGATATTTTATAGACATGAGGCTCAGAGGGGATAGCTTCTTGTCCAAGATCACATAGTCCACTAAAGGGCATGAGCCCCTATCTGTCTCACTGCACTGGGGCAAGAACATTCTCCAGGGATGGTGGTTTCTAGGCCCTCCAGCAGCCTATTCCTACACATAAAGCTGAAACCCCTTAGTCATATACAAAAATCTCACCAAACTCCTTCTTGACATGCAAATGCCTTCACACCTGGCAAGATCTCTCTCTGTGTAACTCTTCTGTCTGCCCATTCATTGATCACCRGGAGGCCTCTGTAGGAGCACAGGTGTCAGGCATTCTGCATCTCTGCTAACCAGGATTCCCAGGCTACAGTCCCTTCATCTCTTCTTCAACTTGTTCAAATGGTGCCCCTTGCCTAGGATGGACACCTGAACCTGTTCCAGCTCTCCCATTGCCCTAGCTGCTCTGGTACTTTCTGGTCCTCACTACTTGATAAATCAGAATTCTTTTCGATCTTTAAACAATGCCTGTGACTCATCAAGCTGTCTTCTCTATTGCCCAAGTCACTTGCCTTGACTGGAAGAAGAGACTTTTCTGGCCCTATGTGATGCACTAATTACAAAGAACTCTTCCATGACAATGGAGTTATAAGACAAGCCCATGAAAATGCCTCTAAGGGTTAGGGACAGTTCCTGCACCCAGAAGGGTTTTCTTCTCTCCTTCTTGCCTCTTATCTCAAGCTGCTCTGTTCTCAACCTCCTGAGAATATGCTTCCACATGTTCTGTTGTAAGTGATACACCTGTATACCCCTGCAAGGGAACTGGAAGGAGAGAGGAATGTGGGGATGTTCCCGCAGCACCCACAGGGCCTCTTGGTCCTATTTTACTATTGAGGAATAGGAAGGTAACCACCTGGCACTTCTTTTCWATTGTTTCTAAAGCATCTTTAATTTTCTGTGGGTCTACATATAGGACAAATAAAACCACCAGGTCAGTTTGGAAGACCAGATCATTTATAGGAGTATGGTTTCACCACTGAGTACCATCCTGCTGGTACAAATCAATGAAGAATGTTTGAAAGGAAGGATCTTGAGGGACATTCCCTGCAGCATCTAGATATACAGAATGGAGAAGCCAGTGTCAGCCTACCTTGAATGCAGCAGGGTTGCCTGCAAATCCCAATGAAGCTTTTCAACTTCACACTAAATGCAAAGCCATTTACTCCCAATAAGCAAAAGACAAAGATAAATCTATCTCCCACCCSATTTAACCTTTGACAACAGATGATAATGAAAAGAGCTTTTTCTCTTCAGAGCACATGATGGTAAGACTTTCAGATAGAACTTTTGGG